CGACCCAGCCCTGCCTTTTCCTGGCGACTTGCCAGAGGTTTGGATCCCCTGCTGGACGCGTTGAGGAGTCGCTTCACCTCTCTGGGCTTCAGCCTCCTCATTAAGAAGTCGGGGGAAAGAAAGCACCCACCTCCCAGGGTTACTGGGAAGACCAGATCAGCTGGTGTGTGAAAAAAATGGGTTAGAAGCTAGAAGTGCAGCGCGCTGCGATGGCTCACGCCTGTAATTCCAGCACTTTGGGAGGCGGAGGCAGAGGATTACCTGAGTTCAGGGGTTCGAGACCAGCTGAGCAGCATGGTGAGACCTCCTCTCTATAATACATCAAAAAATCGGTTGGGTGTGGTGGTGCATGTCTGTGGTTTCAGCTACTTTGGAAGGCTGAGGTAGAAGGATCACCTGAGCCAGCATGCTGAGGCTGTGGTGGCCATGAGTGTACTCTAGCCTGGGCCACAGAATGAGACTTGGACTCAAAAACAAAACAAAACAAAACAAAACAAAAAACCAAATAAATAAGTAAATAAGCTAAAAGTGCTGGGGAAACAGTATTCTTCCAATTCATAAACCCCCCCCCACAAGTCCCATCTGAAGAGCTGGGGTGCACACAGCTGACACTCCATGCCTGGAGACTATTCCACCTCTCTATCCTCACATTCACCTCAATCCTCGCCATCACAGGCCTGTGGTAGAAAATGCTGTTCCCTTTGGCAGTCAGGGGATTTGTGTGATGACCTGACTAGTTGCTCTCTCCCTGGGGATGTAAGATTTTTCTCACTCTTGAATGTAGCTTGTAGTTGCTGCTGTGCCTGGCACAAAGTAAACATTTGCTAAATATTTGCTAAGTCACTCTGTTATTTTGTTTATTTTTGAGTCAGGGTCTCACTTTGTCACACAGGCTGGAGTACAGTGGCATGATCATGGTTCACCGCAGCCAACCTCTTGGGCTCAGGTGATCCTTCTGCCTCAGCCTCCCAAGTAGCTAATGCTACAGGCACAGGCCACCACGCCCGGCTGGTTTTTGTATTTTGTGTAGTAGTGAGGTGTCGCTCTGTTGCCCAGGCTGGTCTAGAACTCCTGGGCTCAAGCGATCCTCCCGCCTTGGCCTCCCATAGTGCTCAGATTACAGGCACAAGCCACCGAGCCCAGCCCCTAAATCACCCCCTGTTATACAGAGGACACAAGAACTCACCCAGTGTGCCTGGCAGTTTCTAGGTGGCTGAGGGGAGATTTGAGCTCAGGTGTATCTGACTGTAGCCAAGGCTCTCAGCCTTGGCGTTCGATTCTTCATCTTCTGCTTGGCTGGCCCGGGTTGGGCCTGGAACTGAATCCTGGAAGCTCTGCTTGTCTCCCCTTGGGGACTCCTGGGGACACTGCCTGGGTTGCCACCCATGCCCCCCTCCTCCCAGGCCTGCTTAGGGGTGCACAGGTGCCCCATGGTGTCCCTGGAAACAACTCCTACCCCCCAGTTCTGCATGTAATCCTCCCTGGAGAGAAGAAGGGAGCAGAGGGGAGGACCCCTTTGGAGCTGGATGTGTGGGCTGCCGGGTCTGCCAGCCAAGCTGCGCCACCCCTCCCCGCCTGCCTCTTACCATCCTGATTTAAGCTCCCAGGCTTCTGTGCCTGTTTCTAGAAGGGGAATAGAAGGAAGAGGCAAGGGCAGGGAATTGAGGGTCTTGGCTAAACCCCTGTGTGAGGCTTGGGGCAACGCCGGGTAATGGCGGGTGGGATACCGACTCTGGGAGGACCCTTGTCCCTCATCGCTTCCCAGAGTGGGATACACTGTCACCACTGCTGGAAATGATAAAAAGACCAGAGTACGGGATGCGAGCTATGAGGCTGGAGTGGAAGTTTCGTTTCTCTTTGTCCTGGAACAGTTTGACAAATTGCAATTTTTAAATCAAGATAAACAATAAACCCCAAACTCTGGGCGCTTTCATGCCATTCCTGGCTGGGTATTATCTACCGGCTCACCCACACAGTCCTGTGCACACTGCCCATGAAAATAACGCAACTCACCCCAAGATGGTTTGTTCCCCAGAGAGAGCATATTTGTTGGGGAGCCTCCCTCGACTCCCAGGGCCTCAGTTTCCCCATGTGTAGAAGTATAGAATTGGAATGGATTCTGTTTTCTGTGGTTGGGGGTGGCTGATATCAGAGTTCTTTCCCTGTAAGCCCTGATATCTCCTCTCCCTCTTCTTCCTTTTGAGTCAGAGTCTCCACTCTGCCACCTAGGCTGGAGTGCAACGGCACGATCACAGCTCACCACAGCCTCAACTTCCTGGGCTCAGGTGTTGCTTCTGCTTCAGCCTCCCCAATAGCTGGGATTACAGGTGCACAGCACCATGCCTGGCTTATTTTTTTATTTGTAGAGTCGAAGTCACATTACGTTGCCCAGGCTGGTCTTGAGCTCCTGGGCTCAAACAGTCCTCTCATCTCAGTCTCCCAAAATGCTGGGATGATAGGTGTAAGCCACCATGCCCAGCCTTCCCTCTTCCGTCCTTTGTTGAGAACCTCGGCCTTGATGAACTCTGAGCCTCTTCCAACTTCAAGTATTCTTGTCTCAACTTCTAGTTCCTACCTTCAGTCTGATCTGAGGTCTTGCTGTGTGCTGTGTCCCAAAGCCCTCCACGGCCCTCCCTCGGTCCAAAGATCAGGACTCATAGGGGCATCTCCCTCCCCATATAGGCTGGGTGGAGAGGAGTCGTATTTGCCGATGTACGGAGGACCCATCAGTGAGGCCAAGCCTCAGCGCCTGCAGGTGCTGGCTCTGAGGAGCTTTCTGACCTTGGACCGGTCTCTTACGTGTTCT